CCATCCATGTCGATGCAAATGGTAGGTATTCATCCTTTCTGAAGGCTGAGTAATATTCCATGGTATATATGAACCACACCTTCTTTATCCATTCGTCTGTTGAAGGGCATCTCGGCTCCTTCCACAGTTTGGCTATTGTGGACATTGCAGCTATGAACACTGGGGGGGTGCAGGTGCCCCTTCTTTTCACTACATCTGTATCTTTGGGGTAATACCCAGTAGTGCAATTGCTGGGTCATAGGGTAGCTCTATTTTTAACATCTTGAGGAACCACCAGACTGTTTTCCAGAGTGGCTGTATCAGTTTGCATTCCCACCAACAGTGTAAGAGGGTTCTCCTTTCTCTGCATCCTCGTCAACATTTGTTTCTTGTCTTGTTAATTTTAGCCGTTCTGACTAGTGTAAGGTGGTATATCATTGTGGTTTTAATTTGTATTTCCCTGATGCCAAGTGATGTGGAGCATTTTTTCATGTGTCTGGTGGCCATTTGTATGTCTTTGGAGAAATATCTGTTCATATCTTCTGCCCATTTCTTGACTGGATTATTTGTTTTTGGGGTGTTGAGTTTAATAAGTTTTTTATAGATACCATCGACATTTTTCACAGAGCTGGAACAAATAATCCTAAAATTTGTATGGAACCAGAAAAGACCCCAAATAGCCAGAAGAAGGTTGAAAAAGAAAACTAAATCAGTTATTTTAAATACGATCAAGAACATTATGTCTAAAGTACTAAAAAAAAAAAGTATGAAAATGATTTCTCTCCAAAGAATATCAATAGAGAGAAGTTAAAAAAAAAAAAAACCCAAAAGAAATTCTGCATTAAAAAGTACAATAACTGAATTGAAAAACTCACTGTAAGAATCAAAAGCAGACCTGAGCAGGCAGAAAAAAGAATCGGCAAACCTCAAGATAGATCAATTTGGGATTACCCAGTCTAAGAAAGAGGAAAAAAGAAAAATAAATGAACAGTACCCAAAGACCTGTGGGAAACCATCAAGCACGCCACTGTATACATGATACGAGTTCCGTGGAAGAGTGGAAAGTATAAGAGCACAAAGAATATTAATATTTGAAGAAATAATGATAAAACTTCCCCAAACTGATGAAAAGCATCAATCTACACATCAAATAAGCTCAATGAACTCAAACTAGGATAGATTCAAAAGAGATCCACACCTAGACACATCATAATCATCTGTTCAAGTGCAAAAAGACAGACTCTTGAAAGCAGCAAGAGAAGCAACTTGTTAATACACACGATCCAATTTTCAAATTAGTAGCTTATTTCTCATCAGAATCCATAATGAAAAACAAAGTCTGAATAGACCTAAAGCAGGTAAAGTGACTGAAGTAATAATTAAAAATCTTCCTACAAAGAAAAGCCCAGCACCAGGTGAATTCGCTGGTGAATTTCACCCAACAAGTCAAGTCGAATTAACAACACTTCACAAACTCTTAAAAAAAACAAGAAGAGGGAACATGTCCCAACTTGTTCTATGAAGCCACGATTACCCTAAAACCAAAATCAGACAAAGACAACACAAGAAAACTACAGAACAATTTCCTTTATGAATACAGAGCTAAAAATCCTCAGAATAGTAGCAGCCAATCCTGCAGCATGAAAAAGAATCAGGCATCATAATCAACCAGGATTGCACAACTTGTTCAAAATACAAAAATCAATCAATATAATACCAAATTATATCAACAGAACAAAGGACAGAAAACACAATCATCTCAATGTATGCAGAAAAACGATCTGACAAAATCCAACACCTTTTCACAATAAAAGCACTCAACAAACTAGGAACAGAAGGGACTTTGTCAATCTGATAAAATTCACCTACAAAAACTCAAAAACTAATGACGTAATGTATGGTGATTAACATAATAATAATAATAAAAAAACTATCTCCATTGTACTATGAAAAAAAATAAATAAAAAAATCCTGAAAAAACAAAGAAACAAACTCACAGCTAAGGTCTTATTTAAGAGCGAAAGACTGAAACCTTTCCTCCCCTGTAAGATCAGAAATAAGACTTAGCATGTGTGATGATACTGTTATTATCGGTACTGAACTGAAGGTCCTAGCTAGGGCAACCGGCAAGAAAAAAAAACAAAAGGCATCCAGATTGGAAAGGGAAAAATAAAACTATCTCTATTTACAGATGACATCTTATATCTAGAGAATCCTAAGAAATAACTCCCCTACCAACTAAAAAAAAAAAAAAAAAAAAAATAGAGCTAATAAATGATTCAGGAAGGTGACAGAATACAACAACAATGTGAAAAATTCAATTGTTTTTCTATATAATAGAAATGAAAAATCCAAAACCTAAATAAAACCGTTCCATTTACAACAGCATCAAAAAGAACAAAATATTTAGGAATAAATTTAACAAAAGTGGTGCAAAACTTGTACATTGAAAGCTATAAAACATCACTGAGGGGAATTAAAGAAGATCTAAGTAGATGGAAAGATACTCCAAGTTCATGAATTGGAAAAGTTAATATGGTTAAGTTGGTACTACTCCCAAAACTGATCTACACTTCAATGCAATCCCTACTAAAATCCCAGTGGGCTTTTCTGCAGAAATGCACAACCTGATTCTAGCATTAATATGGAGTTGCAAGTGACCCAGCATAGAGCCAAAACAATCTTGAGAAAGACTGAATTTGAAGCACTCATACTTAATGATTTCTAAACTTACTTTAAAGCAACAGAAATCAAGACGGTGTGGCACTAGCATAAGGATAGATATAGAGATCAATGAAATAGAATTTAGAGTCCAGAAAAAAGCCCAAACATCTATGGCAAACTGCTTCTCGACAGGGCACCAAGAAAATTCAACAGGGAAAGAAAATATCCTGAACAAATGATGCTGGAACAACTGAATATTCACATGCAGAAGAATGAGGTTTGACCTTGATCTTGTAAATTAATCCAAAATGGATCAAAGACCTAAACATAAGAGCTAAAACCATTAAATTCTTATAAAAAATACAGGAATAAAACTTTATGACTGCTGAATAGGCAATTGTTTCTGAGATACAACACCTAACACACCAGTACCAAAGAACAAAATAGAAATTAGACTTTATCAGTTTAAAATGTGTGCTTTAAAGGACACTATCAAAAAAGTGAAAACACCTTTATTCATTTGTTTGGTTTCTTAAATTTCGCAGTGAAATCATATGGTGTTTGTCTTTCTCTGACTTATTTCACTTAGCATAATACACTCTAGCTCCATCCGTGTCGTTGCACATGGCAAGACTTCATTCTTCTTTTATGGCTGAGTAATATTCCATTGTATATATATACCACATCTTCTTAATCCTTTCATCAAAAATGGGCATTTGGGCTGTTTACAAATGAACAAAGGAAAAAAAAAATAAGGGAGACAAAACAAGAAACAGACTCTTGACTCTAGAGAACAAACAGATGGTTACCAGAGGGGAGGGGGGTGGAGGGACGGGAGAAATAGATGAAGGGGATTAGAGCACACTTACCATGTGTGATGAGCACGAGGTAAGGTACAGAATTGTTGAATCACTGTATCATACACCTGAGACTAATATAACACTTCATGTTAACTATGCTAGAATTAAAATTTAAAAATTAAAAAAAAATTTTTTTCAAGTGAAAACACAATCCACAGAATTGGAGAAAATATTTGTAAATCAAATACCTAGTAAGGGTTTGGTATCCAGAATGTATTAAAAATAACTTCCAATAATAATAAAACCCTCAATTAAAAAATGGGTAAAAGACTTGAACAGACATTTCTGCACAGAAGATACCCAAACGTCCATTAAACACATAAAAAGATCTTAAAAACATCATTAGACATTAGGGAAATGCAAATCAAAACCACCTGAAAATCCACTTCACACATACTAGGATGGCTATAATCAAAAAAAGATAAACAGTAACAAATGTTGGCAAGGATGCTGTAAAATTTTAATCCTCATACACCACTGGTGTAAAAGTAAAATGATAAAGGCTCTTGAAAAAATAGTTTGGCAGTTCCTCAAAATGTTAAACCTAGAGTTACCCTATGTTCTGAGGTATATATTCAGGAGAACTGAAAACAGGTTCACACACAAACTTCTTCAGGAACGCTGGTGACAGCGTTGTTCATATAGCCAAAAAGTGTAAACTGCCCCCAAATCCGTCAATTGATGGATACATAAAAAGGGGTATATCCATACAATGGATAATTATTCAGCCATAAAATGGAATTATGTGCCGATACACTCTATGACATGAATAAACCCAAAAACACTATACTAAGTGAAAGAAGCCAAATGCAAAGCACCACATCATGTATGATTCCACTTACATAAACTATCCAGAACAGGGACATTAACAGGGAGAGAAAGTGTATTAGGGGTTTCCAGGGGCTGGAGAGTGACTGCTTACTGGGTACGATGTTTCTTTTTGGAGCTATCAAAATGCTGTGGGGTATTATACAGTGATCGTTGAAAAACCTTGTCAGTGTACGAACAACTACTGGAATGTTCACTTCAGAGGAGGAATTCTAAGCATGCAAATTTACCCCAGGAAACAAAACAAAACAAAACCCCACCAAAAAAGTTTTAGTTGCTATGCCTCTCATATGAGTACAGCAAAAGCTTATGAATCCAAAACCCTTTTAATATAGATCTCATCTGAAAAAAATTTTAGCATATTTGAACTGCATATGTTTAATATTATGGCTAATAATTACATAATAACAAGCAGAAACACTATAGACAACTTTAACTAGACAGCTTCTAGAAATACTTATTTTCACACACTTAGGCAGTTATAGCAAACAGAATCGGAGTTGGATGAATCCAACCCTATGGAAATAACTCTAACCCATTTCCACGGCAGGAAAAGGGCCTCAGGAGACTAGGATGTCTGGGGAACATCAGCCTTCTGGAGAAGATTCACAAAATTTAAACAAACGTTAAATACTTTCTTTAAAGTCCTGAACATCTATTTACTAATACCTGGAAAATTTGATGATCCCACTATTTTCACCGTATCTTGGGTCAAGTGAAAACTTCTTGGTAATCGAATCAAATATCCAACTATCAAAAACAAAAAGAAATGATGAGCGATCTGCCTCATGACAAATTCCAAGATATTCAAATAGTTGAGTGTCACAGTGTATCTGATCTCGGTTGAAGGAGGAGCAGTGAGTCAATCTCTTCCAGCACCTGGCCCCTCCCCTCTGACTCCACTCTCCCCCTTAGGCGCCAGTGAAATTAACCTACTCACTGCTTCCCCTACTGCACCTCATCTCAGGACTTTTTCTACGACCTCTTAGAAGAGTCTTTTTCAAAATCCGAACCCCCCTCGCGTCAAGACCCAAATCTCAAGTCCCTCTTCCTGCAAACCTCGTCTGTCCCTATCACTTCTCATAGTCCCTTACTTCCATCATCAGCACCTCCTTCCTGAGTCTACATCGTACTGTGTTATAGTTCTTTATGCACATACATAATTTTTCGTTAGATTATAAGCTGTATTGATAGCAGGATCCATTGACAGGAGGATCCATGTTTATGTCAACTTATCAAGAATCAGTACCAAGCATCCTGCACATAAGACAAACTAAATAATAATAGTTAAATATGATATATTCTGAGATTCTTCAGTCATTGTTGAACGAGCAAACGGACCGAAGAGCGTACACAGACCAAGCAGTAGGAGCAGTACAAAAAAAAAAAAAACAGAATACGGCATCCACCCAAAAAACATTTAACAGAGTGGGAGGAGGGTGTATTCAAAGTCACAAGACAACTTACTGGCCTTAGGAAAGCCACCCTAAACTCCAGCACCTCCGCTTCTCTCATCTGTAAAATGAGACTGCATTTCGGATTTACAGCGTTATTGTAGGGACCGAATGGAAGGTGGTACAAATGCTATGTGACTACCATCTTTCCTACTCGGCGCTTAAGAATTAAGGCATTGCCTATTTTAGGTCTTGCATCCTCCGGTCTCACGATCGGCTCTAAAGGCGGCGCCCGCCACCCCGCCCCCGCCCACTGCCCTAGTACAGTAGCCTGGCCGAGGCCAAGCAGCATCCTCTCCCGCCGGCTCCTTAAGGGTGATCAGCGAGCCCCTCCTTCCAAGAGAACGAGTCCTGATGCCCAGACTACGCACTCACCCCCCTTCTTTCCCTTCTCCTCATCCCAGGCCTTCCTCCACAATCCTTCCACGTTTACATTCTTGGAGAAGCGCTCTCCTTTCTCGTCCTTTGCACAGTTTTTAGGATTTCGACCAAATCTTTTTTTGAGTTTTTTTTATCCAATACCTTTATTTTTACAGTCTTTTGAGCACAAAATACTGCAGCCAAAACCTCCTCGGTTACACGACGGCGGCTGAAACCCTCCCTCCGGTGTGTCTTCGCGGCTATGTGAAACACGTTTGAAAACAGGATGGAGGGGCGCCTGCCTTCGGCTCAGGTCGTGACCCCGGGGTCCTGGGATCGGGCCCCGCCTCGGGCTCCCCGCTCCGCGAGGAGTCGGCTTCTCCCTCTCCCGCTCCCCCTGCTCCCGCTCCCTCTCTCGCTGTGTCTCTGTCAGGTAAATAAATAAAATCTTAAAAAAAAAAAAGAACACAGGATGGAACTTTTTGGGACACAAAGGAGGAAACAGACGACGGCAGAAAAGCGTCTCAACCCGAGCATCCCGGTCCTCCCTGCATTTCAGAACTACGACCGACAGGGGGAGCTGCGGGAGCCAGGACGAGGGCGTGCGGGGCGGTCCACGCCGCCCACGCCGCACGGACAGGGAGGCCCGGCCCCGCGCGTCCTGCGGGGCTGGCGGGCCCGCCGGGGGCCGGCCCGGGGAGCTGGTTCACGGCCGGGCCAACGACGCCGCGCACGGAGGGTGCTCTCCAGTCACCCGGCGCCCCGCGCGAGCGCAGGGGCCTCCGCAGCGTTCATGCGAACACACCCCTCTCCGGCCGGTACCGGCGCTTCCTTTCGGTTCGGCGGGCGCACGTGACCCGGGGAGGCCAGCCCCGGGCGGGACGGGCGGCCCCGCGGAGCCCGTGGCGGCGGCGCCGACGCCTCACCTGACGGGGTCGCCCGCGCCACGAAGGCGGAAAGCAGGAGGACGACCGCGGCCCGGGTGAGCGGGGAGCCCGCGGCCGGGGCCCGCCGCCAGCCCCGCCGCCTCCGCCGGCCGAGGGCCGAGGCCTCCATCCACTCGCCGCCGCCGCCTAGCCGACCGTCGGCGCAGAAGGTCGTTAGGCGGCGCGCGCCCACCTGCCGGCCGGAAGTCGGCGGGCGGTGGGCCGGAAGGAAGGCCGGAAGGCCGGGCCGCCACTTCCGTCGGGGCGGGGGCGGGGCGCGGCGGCCCGTCGGCTGGGCCGCGTCCTTCGACGCCGACTGAGGGCCGCCGCGCGCCGCCCTCCGTGCCATCCGTGAGCGGTCCTTCGGAGCCTGGGCGCCAGTCAGGGAGCCCTGCCGAAGGTTCTGGTGCGGGAGAACCGCGGGCCCCGCAGCCCGCGCCCTTCCCTTTGCGCGCTCGTGGGCCGAGGGAGGCCGTTTCCGGAGCTGGCCGACCGAGCTTCCGCACGGGGGGCCAACCCCGAAGCGCGGGCGGCGGGAACCGCGTGCGCCCCGCCCCGCCCTCGCGGGGGTCGCCGGGCTTCTGACGTCACTTGCCCGCACCTCGTGGAGGGATGGCACCGGAGGGGGCTCAGCGCACGCACGGCGGCGCGACTGGAAGGAGGCCGTGGGAGCCCCGGAGAGAAGCTTCGTGGGCAGGACGAGCAGGTCGACTTCCGTGCCTCGCTGGGCCTGGAAGATGGCCTCCTACGCCTAAGTTGGAAAAGTGCGTGGGGACAGCGGTCGGCGTTCACAGCCCGAGCGCGCTGAGGAGGACCGTGCCCGCGGGCCCTGCCGCTGGGCTGTCCTTGCCGAGGCCGAGCGCCGACGCACGTCTCGTACGCTTGAAGCAAAGGCACGGAGGAAAGGAGTGACCCGGCGCTGGCTGTGCTGTGTGCGGGGGGAGGGCTGAAGCGCCCCGCCGCCTCGCCTCCCCGGCCGGGGACCGCCCCGCCGCCGCTGGCGGTCGACAGCTGGCCCGGTGTCCGTGTGCTCTGACTCTGAGGGTGGATCTTGTCTGTCTGGCCACCATTTTAGCCTCAGCTAAAAGAGTTCCTGGCGTACAGTGCGCACCCAAATCACCATAAATTAAAAAAGGAAGGAAGGAAGGAGGAAAAAAGGGAGGAAGGAAAGAAAGAGGAGAAAGAAATCAGGGCTCTTTCTGGACCAGGGCCAGGATCAGGATGTTCCTCGAGTTTTCTGGCTATTTTATGCATATGTTAATTGTCCAGTAAACTGTATACAGTACGGTTTATTCCACTGAGTAGATTTACATCTTTAGAGATGCTTACCTGTATAAGGTTCTGAATTAAATCTGCTGTGCTCAAGGGGCGCCTGGGGGGCACAGGTGGTTAAGCCTCCGGCTCTGGGGTGACCTCAGTGATAGGGTCGGTGCCGGCGGGCACTGCGGGATTGGTGGGGTCGGCTTCAGATTCTCCCTCGGCCTCTGCCCCTTCTGTCTCTCTCGTCTCTCTCTAAAATAAATAAATAAAATCTTTAAAAAGTAAGTTTACGCTGCTCGAGCATGTGTTAGTATGATTTAGATCTAGCCAGCTTTTTGGTCAAGACCTTGCAGGTTTCTTGAGCACCTCCAATACGTCCATCCATACGTATATATGTGTATGACTGAATAGTGCCCGATCACCATGTCTAGGTATATACCCTGCTAAAGCTCCTCCTAATTTTTATAAACAGGTAAACCTGCAAAATACCAAATGGACTTTTGACTGTCATTGACTTGTGTTCTGCCATCAAGAATTTGCTTCAGTTCGTCAGTCCCTCCTACCTTCATCTACTGTGTAAATTCCTAACGTTCAACCTGAGAGTAGGATGTTACATTGGAGATTTTAGTTCATTTATGCTGTGAATCTAAAGTTGGAAAGCCAGTTGCTGGAAATATGAAAGTAGGTTTCTCATTCATGTTTGCATGGGGTTTTTTTGTTTTTTGGGTTTTTTGTGTGTTTTTTTCGGGGGGGGGCGTGGTTTTGTTTTGTTTTACTCCGGAAGGGATGGTGTGATCCCCGTGCTCAAATTCCAATACTTGGAATTCCTGTGGTAGCAGTTTTCCTGCAAGTCCAAATTACCTCATTGAAATGAGCTTCTACATGACCAATATAGAAATGGTATTCTTTTTTTCCTTACATGTGACCTCATATCTCATACCATATTGTAGTTTTCTGAAATGAGTTCAAAAATCCCATTGGTCTTATTCTGTACATTGGTAGCCAAGAGGTAAGGTAATTTAGAACATTTTAAAGATTAACCTGTACTTTGAATATTGATCACTTATTTCTCTTAGAAATTAACTGCACTGAATTAAGTGTGGTATAATACCTGTTCATTCTTTGCACTGCATTTAAATTTACATTTATTTAGGTAATGAGTTTTGTAATTTATCATATCTTTATTTTAGTCAGATACATCCTTTAAAAATATATTCTCACTTGACTAACTGCTTTACACTCTTTAGTGAATATCATTTACTTATAAAAAATCAACTTAGGGAAACGTTTAAAAATAAGTAACAAATGAACAGTGGGAAGGAAACTATCATGAAAATATTACTAACAAGGCTATTTGTGTTTTTCCTGAGAATTAAATTATGACATATATAGTAAATGGTCCGATGTGTTAGAGTTCTAGCTGTTGCCAAGCAACAAGGACCCTTGTTTTGCTTTTTCTGTCCTGGTCCCTTACTGCCCTATTCTTGTTTTGGTAGAGAAAATATATTTACCTCAAAAAAAAAAAAACAACAACAAACTATCAACATTTAGAAAACCAATTCAGTAACTTTATGTTAGATTAACCAAGCCTCAGTTATTTGACATAGTAAGTTTTACAGTTAAATAGAAAGGAGTCGTCAGAGGCACTTAGTTTACAGTCATCCAAAATTCTAAAGAGAAAGGCCATGGATATGGATTCACAGTCCAAACCTGGAAAGATAAGTATCTCTGAAAGGGCCATCCTTTCAGGAAAAAAGGCTGTTGAAAATATAGATTACCCACACTACTATAATCTCTTAAGGAAAATGAACATGCCTTTTGTGAAAGGAGTTGAAGACAGACATAACTATGGCAGAATTGAAAAGAAATGCAACCCTACTTTTCTTAAATTCCACCCTTACCCCCCTTCAGTCCTGCCAGACTACCATTTACACTACCCTTATCCCCCACCGTATGGGCGAGATTATCCATTATTTCCACTTCGGGATGATGTGCCCTTGGTTGATGCCTGTTCCGGGCTTTTGAGTCCCGGTGGCGATGCTGATTTAAAGCCTGGCTTTGGCAGAACCATACCAAGCCTGGTGGATTTCAGTGATGTGAAACCGCATCATCGAGTTCCCAGGCCAGACACAGGATTTCAAACAACACTGAAAAGGCAAAACATTTTATTAGAAGAACTAAAACAGGACAGGAGATGGAATTCCAGGGCAATACCAGACATTTCCATCAGAGCAAGACTTGGAGGTAAGTGAAAGGACATGGGCTTCATAATTTTTGAACCTTCAAGCAAGGGAGAAGAGGGTGGATGTCAGCCTGAGTATTTAGCAGTAAATTTCACATAAAATTATAAAGAGGTGAATAAGGAACTCTTATTTTTAAATTATAGATTGTAAGGAAAAACTAGTAAGAATGATTAGCCTTTTATAAACCTATTTGTAAAAAAAGTTTTTTAAAAAGTGCATTAATTAGGATAAGTGACCAACACAAAGTGTATATCAGATAATTTATTCTAGACCTATGGATAACCTAATTTTTCCACAAGGGCATATATGTTTAGTTCTGATAATTGTGTAGCATCTTTCCATATCTGTCTCCCTTGAAAAGCCAAATCTGCTGGTGGTTATAAAGAGGTCAAAATGGGAAGGTACTTGAAAGTAGATTTGGGGGTCTGTTAGGAAGCAACCCTTCCATAGCCCTGGACACAGAATTGATGACCCTTTACTGAAAGCTATACCTTATGGTTTCTCTGTGAGAACTCCCAGAGGGTGTCACAGGCCTGGTCCAGAAAGGGTGAGGAACACTTCCAAAGGAAAGCCACATGGCCTGTTTTTGTATGGAGGTGTTTCTGGCAAGCAGGAAGTACAAGGAGGTTAACATCTCTGAGCACGTGGAAAGGAAAAGACCACATGCTGTAGCAAGAGATGCTAAGCTTCGTCTATGCCAGAGGCTGCACCCCCCTCCACTGCTCTTTGGCATCTGGCCATAGACTAGAGGCCTGAGGAGACAGTATGTGAAGGAACAGTGACCCCACCATTTGTTGGAGCAGTGGGGTTTCATGGTCCCTGCCACTTCTCCATGGAGAAAGGCCATAGTCACGTGGGACCTGGAAGGGGGATAAGAATAAGGGAAAGGTAATAGAAATGAAGAACCCTTCTTCCCAGCCCCACCCTGCAGATACCCACTTTTGAACAGACAGAGCTATTTGGAGAGATACCAGCATATGATAGGAGTTATTCTTTTAATGTGCTCTTCAGCTGTGGACTTAGTACATAGGCTTCAGGAAATCCTTCAGTTTGGAATTTCCATATAAAGGATATGAATGAGGTTCAACAACCTATTTTAAATAAGTATTTTCTAATCTCTTGGAAATACCCTCTAGTGAAATACAGCATTACTGAAAGCTAATGTCATTCACATTGAACAATGGATGAGTTCAGGTCGGTCTTGCAGACACAGAACATCTTACTGATCCCAACTCTGCAGAAAAGAGCTTGAGCTCACTCTTTTGCTAATGTTTCAATGTAAACTAGTAGTCATTGTCAGGAATATGTCTTTAAAGGAACTGAAGTTGTTTTTTCTAGTAGTCCTAATTTAGACAAGTAGACCACTTTGCTTGTAAGCAGTAAACCCTAGCCTATGTAATTTTTAAGAACAATATTTTTGGTTTTTAAGTTTTTCTAAGATTGGACTCTCAAAACATTATTACAACAAAGTAGAGGCTGAAGAAATAATTAAAGCTAACGTACAATGAAAATAGGGTTAACAGACTGCACCAACAATTCAGAACCAAGTATAGAACTCACTACCTGGATCAGTACAACAGAATTTAGTACACTTTCTGGGCTTAAGTCTTGGTAGAAGGCTTACTTGCACTATGACCCGGGGCTCTTTATGCCTGTGTATCCATATTTGTAAATTTATGTACTAGTAATACTTCATAAGG